ATTTATTATAATATTACTATTATATTATATTATATTACGAGTCGAATTTTAAATTGAGAATATTGTAAATTTTAAATTTCATTAGGGGTATTATGGGTATTATGAAAGTTTCATTAATTGTACTATGTTGATTCCTGCACAATTTAAAAGCTAAAGTTGTCTTTAGGCTGCTTCTGATTTTGGCGGTAGATTCTTGAAAAATTCTTCAAAAAACACTTTTGAAGAGATTTACCAAACACTAAAATCAGCTTCTGCTACAAGCAGAAGCTGATTTTGGGAGGGAAAAGCTATCAAACTAAGCCTAAATCTTCTCTCGGAGACAAACCTGGATCAAGAAAGGAAGAACATCCATCCCAAGATTTTGCAGAAGTTCAGGTCGACTAGCGAGGAAAGATTCCTTATCCAACAATTGTGGAGCTTCATGATCTGTGATTGAAGCAGGGAGAAGCCCGTCAAGCAACTTTAGAACTTCATATACCTGCATTTGAAAGCATAGGAATCATAATGCCTTCTTTTTGTTTTAATAATTAAATGTAGATTCTTTATGATAACTCTCAAAATCACTAAAATCTACAAGGGAAACAAACACCAATGAATTACTTGCAGTGTCACATCGATGAACTCATACACCATATTATTAAAAGGACTTAGAACTCTGTGTCATTACACCCTAAAGCGCAATCATATCAAACAGACCCTAAACAAATGCCAACTCCCACAGAGTGCAAAATATATAAGTAGATAAATATCTCGCATTCATTTGTGCATAAAGTGAAGGAAGGCAAATCACTCTATCATTCTTCATAAAAAACTAATAATAAAATAAAATCCAAACTCAGTCACAATAAACGACAAACCATGGCGGACAGGTTAAGAAAAAACCTGATTGCATTGTCCATCAACCGTATGAGGAGAAGAAACTCCATGTGAGAGGTCGTAAGTAGACAAAATATCCTTTAATAGGTTGCTTATATTAAGCTCATGTAACGTTCTGAAGGCTGCAATTGAACCAGAAGAAAGTTTGACCAGTACCCCAAGCAAACCCTGCCAACCAAAGCAGAAATTTTCAGACCATCTACTACAAACAGTAATACATGACAAAAGCTAACGCCTATGACATAATAGGAAGCAAAAGTTAACGTACATTACAAACTGGTAGTGATAGAGTAGTGCGGCTATTTGAGTTTATAAGATGAAAGGTCTGCTGAATTAATCCATGCTTACAAAGTTCATCCAGCTTCTCAGAAGAGCGACTCACTCGCTCAGTAATTCTAATCAAGCAAATAGCCACATTTTCAACAAGCTGAAAAATAAAACCAAATGTATGAGTCAAAAAGTCAATGAACAATCTCGAAACACAAGAAAAATCCAAGGAAGCCCTAAAACGTTGACCGCTTGAAGTACCTGCCTATCTTCATACTGAAGAAGATTGCATAGTATTGGAACAGCCTCCATGATAGGTGCATGACATTCAGAAGGAAGTTTTTTGCATATATTCATCACAGTGGAAAGAGCAACCCTCTAATACAAAAGGGAAATAAATAAATAATAAATAAAGGATTTAAAGATTATACTCCTCAGAGACGACAATTAGGAGTAAAACTGATGTTGGATAGTAATGTACAAAATGGGAAAGTCACCACAGAGGTATCAATGTTATATTACCTGTATGATTGTTGAGAAGAAATCAATATAAGTCAGGACGGCCATTGTTGCCCCGGCCTGCAAGCAGGCAAGCGGTTGCTCCCGCGATATTTTCTCCAATGCTTGCAGACACTACATGAACAAAATAAGCACGGCATTAGGATTTCAACGAAATTATACTCTTTCTTTATATAAACAGTTCAATGCAATGCTTTTACTTGAATAAAACACAAAAGATAAAACATAAAACTTACCTGCTCTGCCACATCCATGTCTTCAATAGCCATTAATTTTTGGCATAGAACAGTGACCGCGTCGTGGCGAATAAGGAAACCTGATGATTTAGGATACACATCACATAAATAAGTCATAGCCCTTATGGCCAACAGCATGATATCCGGGTTAGTCGGGTGTCTTGCAAGCTTTACGAGATGCGGCGACAAGGAGTCGACCGTCATGCTCGAGAGCGAATACTCGTTACAAAATGACAACACTTCACATAGCTCAGTAAGCAACGCTAAGTGTCCAGAATCCTCTCTTTCTTCACCTAGAGATGATAAGATCCTCTTAAACTTGCCATGATCGTTAGACGATCTCTGCCTCTGATAGTCCCGGATTTCAGAGTGTCTATGCTCAGCATCATCGGAATCACAGGACCCGTATGCCGAATCCTTCTCAGGTTCTCCCTCTGACCGGCTTGAGGCCGAGGCAGATGATGAAGTATCCATATCAGGCTCATCAGTTTCAGCTGTGGAGTTAGCAGAATTCAGCGGTGCTTGAGCTGATGAACTCGGTCTGAACTCCATCGAATTGCAGGCCCGCTTATCGGCCGGCAAGTCTTCCACTGTTTCAGCACGCTTTTGTCCACGATTTCCCATTTACATGAACTCAATCTATCACAGAAAATCCAATTAACAGAACAAATTAAAGATCATAAAAAACGGTTTCACTAATAAATGAAACAAAGCCAAAACATTGTACCATAAATTTCCCATTTACATAAACTCAATCTGCCACAGAATATCCAATAAACATTACACCTTAATGATAAAAAAATCCTCATTACACGAAACAAAATGCCAAAGAAAAAAGTATATATATCATAAATTTGTGGAAAATATGCCCTAAAACAAATCATCAAACTGGGAAGAATCCAGAAATCAAATCAAGAAAATATCACGGAATAATAAACAAGAAAGGTTCACATTTGCAAATATCAAATAACAGTTAGAAAAGTTCCAATTTTTGTCGAACAAACAAACACCGAAACACAAACAATCATCAAAATAATCAAACAAAAAAAAAACCATCATCAAATATTCATACTTCAGAACCGAAAGAGGAGAGAAACAGCACCGCCAACAAGGAAAACCATTTACAAATAATCTAAAAACAAAGTTTTTTTTTTTTTTTTTGAGGGTGATAAAACCACAAACTTTATACTTCTTCATTAACGTATTAACAGATTTCACCAGAGATTCTACAAAACTCTCAGTGAATTCACAACAAACGTAATGCAAAGTTCTCACACAACACAAAAAGAAAAAAAAAACGAAAATAAAATAATTCCTGTGTTCTCTACACACTAATAATGCATGTACAGCAATAACGAAAAACCTATAATTCGACGGATGATCATCAGTAGAAAATCAATCGCATAAATTGTTATCAAAATAAAAAGATTCCACCGATTTTTTCTTCTCTTTTCGTACCTATAATCACCGCCGTCGTTCTTAATCGGTCTTCAAGAGAATCGAAGACCTCAGAAAAAAAAAAAAAAGTAAAGTTTTCCTTCTCCTTCTCAAATTACAGACTCTGACGATGATGAAGAAGAAGACATTAGTTTACTAACAAAGCTTCTGATATATATATTCTCAAAAAAAAAAAAAAAAAAGCTCCTGATATATACACACACATATATATAATATAGATACATATATACTGTGTGTGTATATATAGCTCCTGATATATACACACACACATATATATAATATAGATACATATATACTGTGTGTGTATATATCTATATATATCTATTCTATTTCGAAGATATACATGAAGAGAAACTATAGTCTATATATATGTGTGAATCACAAATGGTTAAATTTTAATTAGCGTTTAATTATTGTACTCAGAAAAATAGGAGTTTTACGCTTAGATGAATTGGTTGTGTGTATTTGAGCACAGTGTAAGGATGTGTGCCCTAGAATCTTGGGCTATGCTTGGATCTGATATCAGAGATCTGAGATTATAGACGTGGGGCCTGCGTGAAAAGGAATAATTTTCGACCACCTGATTAAGAAAGAGATAGTGTTATCTTTTAAGAAGCGGCTAGTGTCACCAGCACCGCCTCCTTTTGTGATTTTCGTGGTTTTCGACTACGGCCCAGCCCAATTCTGTCGTTGGCCCAGGGGAGTTTAGACCTTTAATGAGAAGGTCGGGGGTTAATAAATAAATAAAGGGAGAAAGAGAAAAATAGGTCGAGAATTGAGATGAATTAAAATTAATAGGTTAATAGTTTATATAAGTTAATAAATAGGTCAAATTATTATTTTTATCTATAATTTGTCTGGTTATGAACCTTAAGTTGACAAGTTATTGTCCATAATTTACGGTTTTTGTCCATAATTTGTTTGGCTATGAACCATAACTTGACAAGTTTGTCCATAACTTATCTGGTTATGAACTATAATTTAACAAGTTATGGCCTATTAATTTCTATAACTAAAAGTTGGCCTATGTACTTTCTTAAGTTTTTCATATTGGCCCATTTTCTACTATTTCTGATAAATAAATAAGCTATTTACATATCTTAAAATTTAAATAATAAAATTGAAATATAGTAAATATTTTGAAATATTTTAAGTGTAGTAAACTTTGATATTTATTAATATAGTAACTAATAATTATATAGTATAAAACATAACATTATTATGATAATTATTAAAAAAAAAAAGAAACTATAATGTGATTGTGGTATATATCTTAATAAATCTTATTCACCCCTTAAAAAAATTTCTTAGAGTTTCTCCGGCAATCCGTCATATCGTTAATCTCATTTTTTAATTATTAGATCTAATCAAAATCACATCAGATTAAAAATATGCAGAACAGTAGATTTAGGTACAGATTTGACAACTTAAAAGTAAGCGACTACTAGTAGTTTATTTTTACAGGGACTATCAGAGAAAGTCTGTAATATAAAACTAAAAAATTACACCAATTACTTGTGTTTGGAGCATCTCTAATGCAATGTTATAATTAATGTGTCAATTACAAATTTAACATTTGAGTGAAAAACACTCTTCAATGCAATGTTATTTGTGGTGCTAAATTTTTCACATGCTATACTTTGTAATAAATTTCTCACCAACTATAACATATGAAAGATTAGTATTTGATTAGTATTAGTTGAAATGTTTACTTTTTCCATGTAATCAATGTAATTTTTGCATTTTCTAATTATTTTAAAAATAAAAATTTTCTTTTACAACTTTCAAAACTTTTTGACGTTAAATATACAATTAGTATTAATATTTATATCAGAGGTGGTCTTATATTTATCGGTTGTTGAAATACCAAACATCACTAACAAAGTATATTTTTCTTAGTCTAGTTACTCCACTATTGCATAAAATATTAGAGGCTTTTGCAATATAGAAGTTGCGATGGAAAAATATTCTGGCATGATACAAAAAAGATACTCTGTTGACGCTGTCCAATTATGAAAATTAAATTTTGTTAAAACTTTGAAATTTTTATTTTTAGCTTTGATATGATTTGACAATTTAAAACTTTAAATACTATTAAAATATTTTCTCATACCCTATTATGAAATAGTTCGCAAAAAAATGTAGCAAAAATTAATTAAAAAGAACAAAAAAAAATTATAAAATAAAGAAGCACTATGCCTTTTATTAAATTTTTTTCTTCTTCTTTTCAATGTACTGCTTTTTACAAAGACAAAACTACATAGAGATTTTATTATTTTTTATTTTTATTTTTTATTTTTATAATTAAACTACATAGAGATTCTCTAGCGGAATTGTGCTAGATATCCACTGCGTAGAGAAGAAGGAACAACAGGATTGGTGCATATTGCGTAATGAAAGGTAGAAAAAAAGCATATTTATGTCGACATGAGTTTTGTTTATTGGCACGCCATAGGAAACTTGACACTTACCTTTGAATATTTTTATTTTTTTAATTGCTTTGCCCACAGAAAAGATCAATTAAATAAGATATGTGTATTTATATGCCAAATTGCCAAAGTGTGAAAAATAGTCTTCTTTGGTGAAAAAGTCATGTTTGATCACAATCCTTGTAGGTGAGATCAAACAGGGAACATTAAATTATGCCTAAACAAACAACGTCCAGATCAACACGAGACTTTGATAAGTTAGACTTTGTTTAGAATTTGGTGTGTGTTTTGGACGATGTTTTAAAAGAGAGAATTACGAGATTTGTTTGATAATAACTCGTATACATACATCATACACAATTCAAATTCGAGTAAGCTGCCTAATCTCTTGAAAATAAGAAATTAATTAAAGGATTATTATTACTTATGCCCTCTAAATTTTAGGGACACTCTCACTTTACCTATTAAACTTTAAAAATTCTCACTTTACTGCTCTAAATTTTCATAAACTTTCACTTTGCCCTTTCCGTCTAAATTTCCGTTTAAAAGGGACGGAAAACGTCTCACGTGCATGATATTTGAGAGTAAAATCATAATTGATTTTTTGGTGATTTGCACCTATGCCCCATAAACTTCAGCGTCACCCCCACTTTGCCCCCTAAATTTTGGAGTCGCCTCCACTTTGCCCCTGAACTTTTTCATAGCTCCCACTGTACTACCCCAAACTTACTTAATTACGATTGGTACCCGCTTGCTCACCTTCATAGTAATCCGATCACTAAATACGATTTTTTTTCTTTTCTCTGATTTTCTAAACATGGTTTGATGTCCTTTTTATCATTTTTGTTTTCTATTTAAATTATTTTTATTGATTTGCTTCGTTATAAGACATAACAGTACTCAGATTTTAAGAAACTAGCGATTAAAATTAACCTAAAATATACAAATTCTCCTAGAACACTTTGTCGACTTTTTGTTGATATCTCCAAAAAAAATTTCGCAAAAAAAAAATCGTCATTTAATACTACACTTTTTAAAATGAGAGAAATTCGAAGTTTGACGTAGAATGGAGGACCAATGAAAAAGTTTAGAGGGCAAAGTGGAGGCAACCTCAAAGTTCAGGGGGGCAAAGTGGAGGTGACCTCAAAGTTTATGGGGTAAAGTAGGGGTGACTCCAAGGTTCAGGTTGCAAAGTGGGAGTGACTCCAAAGTTTAAGGAGTATAGGTGCAAATCACAAAAAATTTAATTACGATTTTACCCTCAAATACTATGCACGTGAGTACAAGTGAGACGTTTTCTGTCTCTTTTAAACAAAAATTTGGACGGAAGAGGCAAAGTAGAAGTTCATAAAAGTTTAAAGGATTAATTTCAAAAATTCCCCCTAAATTTTAATACTTTGCCCCCTGAATTTTAAAAAGTAACATTCATTCCCCCCGAACTTTATTCTGTTAATAAGTTTTCTCCTTCTGTTACAATAAGTGACGGAATTATCGCGTGTCACTTATTTAGTGAGAATTGAAAGCGCAATTACGTTTATACCCTCCTAATCAGATAATTTCTCATTTTTATTGAAAAAATTGACCATATTTTCTTTGACCATCATCTTCACTTTCTCTTTCCCTCTCTACCACTTTTTCTAGGATTCATTTCTTCTACGGTTCCTTTCTTCTTCATCTCCCTTCTACTTCTTCTCTCTTCCATAAACTCTCTCTCTCTCTATCTCTCTTCAACATTGCATATCACTCCTTCACTTTCACTCTTCAATGGCAGCTTTCGCTTTTCTTTTTCTTCATCATCTTCTGATTATGCAGAGAATTCAATGACGATCATAGCTTTGTCTTCGTCTTCATCGCAATCGCCGCCTCCTTCCAACGACAACTTCGAGGAAGACTCTTGCAGTATTTGTCTAAAGCCTTTCAACTCTGATGATTCCGTCTTGGATTCATTGTTCTTTTTTTTTTTTTTTTCTTTTTCCTGATCTTTATTTTGTTCAAGATATGGGTTTTCTTTCTTTAATGCTTGGAAGAGTCGTTGCAGGTTAATTTATGATAATACTCCCTGACATGTGGTGAATTTTGTCTTGTAACAAAATGGAAAAACTTGTTAACGGAACAAAGTTTGAGAGAAACAGATGTTATTTTTTAAAATTTGAGGGGCAAAGTGTTAAAATGATCATAGTTTAAGAGGAATTTTTGAAATTAATCAAAGTTTAAAATAGTAAAGTGAGAATTTTTAAAATTCAGGAACAAAGTGGGAGATCACATAATCATAAATTAAATTACAACTTTTCAAAAACTAATCATTACAAAATCAAATTTTAAATAAAAAAATATTAACTTCCTTTAATAGTTTTATTTTGGAAGTTTCTTTTTTTTTTAAAAAAAAAAATGCAAACAAATAGAAAAATTAACTTGTCAAAATAAAGATAAATTTGTATTGTACCCGCATAAAGTATTTTTCTACATTTTTTCTAAACAATTACCGGCGTCCTCTTATAAGGAAAATAAATTTTTTGGACTTCCAAAGGCAATACTAAACCGGGCTAAATCTCTTGAAGAACGAAACACTAACAATTTGTTTCAAAATTTCGTATAGAGCTCAACCTCAGCAAGATAATGTAATAATACAAGTGTGAATGACAGAAAACTTCAAAAAAAAAAAAAAAAAAAAAAACCTTGTCATCTTGAAATTCGTCCATACTTCAGCCTAAGTAATTAATGGCACTATCTTCAACCGTTTCTCATTGAGAGGTCAAAAATCAAGACAAACTGTAAAATCTTTTTATTTTTTTGGGCTCAATACTAGAAAATCATATTGTTATGAGCTAAGGAAATGCATGGAAATTTACTAACGTCCACGTGTCGACTGCAAAATTTTTGCTTTATCTCTAGGAATTGTAAGCCAAATAAATATTAAATATCAACCCTTTATCATTCCAAATTGACACATCCACAGCATTGGCAAGTTTCAAGCCCCTCTCCCCACGGCAAAAACATTCAAAATGCCACACCGAAAAACCTTCTTTTTTTTTTTTTAAGGAAAAAAGCCATTTCTATTTTCTAATAAAAGAAAAAATTGCAGGTAATTCAAAAACAATTAAAAAAACTATTGCAAGTCAATAACTCTTTAATATGTTGCTGACTTGTCGCTATCAATCAATCAATTTTGCGGAATTTCAGCTCAGTGGGCTATGAAGAATATTGCACAATGGAGAAAATTTTAGATCCCCTGTGCTGTTTTGCATCTTCTTCTTGGTTGGTATCTTTTGAACCTAAAATATTGAGCTGAAACTGTAAGAATGCAAGGTAAGGAGATATAGGCCTCGTAGATTCGACTTTTCAATTCAAACTGAGATGTAATTTTATGTGAGAATAGCAAAATAAGTTAGATATGACTTTTTGTGAGAGCTTTTAACCGTAGCAAAACTGAAATTGAAAACTCGAATCGCTGAAATGAACGATGCCATAATTTGTCCCTTGGATAAAAGAGTACATTTTTTTTTTTGGCATAAATTTACCACAAGCAATACAATCACATCATAATCCTAGCAATATAACAGTTTAAAAATGACATACTAGATACACCAAAGATTTACAGAACACCCCTTAAATAGTCATTATACCCAAGTGACTCCTTAATAATTTACAAACATTACCACAATACACTACCTAAACATGGGCACCAAAACCACCCAACATGTCAGTGTTCACATCAGACAGATAACTTATTACCAATTTTGTTGAGGGCTCGCCGGCTCGGACCAACATCTACTCTGTGCCTTGCATCATCATGTGCTGAGCCTGCGACTGCATTCACAACGCAAATAAAGGGAGTGTTGGAACCGACAGACATGTAGGTTTACTGCCTTGCAAAACAGGAATTGATTAAACAACAAAGAAAGCAATAAATCTTGATTAAACAACAAACAAGTAGGCAATTTATTAAGAAAAATATCGAGTGACTTCGTCATACAACTTTATAAAATGATATGAGATTTATTCCATCTTATCCAGCTATAAGAACTACTGAAATTATTCCAGTTTGAGCACTCTGCTTAAGTAATGCAAAGTTTTGAGAGTTGAACAGAAGGTTATCTACCGACTCCATGCAATCAATAAGGTATTCATAAGTGAACTAGTTGAATGCTTGCCTAATTTGATTTATGGAACTACAAACAATTGGGCATCGAGTCCAAACAGAGCAAAAATACCGCAAATATTAGAAAATCATTCCTAGGCTATAATGTAGAACATGTGTGAGTTGTGATCCTTAATAGTGATAGACTTCAGAGACAGGACATAGATGCACGCAGCCAAGCAGGCTATCCAAAATAGCCTTACCCCTCAAAAAAAAAAAAAAAATATATATATATATATATATTATACCCAATTATTATTCTGATATTAAAAAAATAAAGAAGCTAATAGAGAAGAACAAATGCCATTTTATTGGGACGGTAATAACAAGTAATCGAGAGTTATTCAGTTCAATATGGAATAGGGCCAATCAATGATACAAACCTTGTATTTCTAATACCGTATCTCACAATTGACCATATATTAAGTAGTAAGGAGGGTTGCTTGACCATTTCTCATTGATCATATACAGTCGATGAGAAATGGTATGTCACTACATAATATCCAATATCAACGACTAAGAGTTCAAACTTTTGTGGGGGTGAGAGTAGTAATACTTAGAGAGAGCTAGAGAGAGAGAGAGAGAGAGAGAGAGAGAGAGATTTACTTGAGAATTTGTATAACTAACACCTTGCGAGAAAGAACCTTGATGGGCAATCTGACAGATTAATAATTGATGTTTCCACAGTAAGAACAGGACAAGTTTATGCATAAAGCAAGTCTGATGAATCGATATACACTAGAATTTTGAAAAAAAAAAAAAGGCTAAATTCCACATAAATTTATTCCCAACCTGAACATTTGGACTGGGTTGAACATCCTTCTTGGCAGATGCCTCTCCACCTTTTGCTGACCCCTTTGTATCACCCTAACAGATGTCGGGGTTTCCAAAAAAGAAAAAGAATAAACTCCAAAAACAAATCAAGGGTAATAAAAGAATACTTTAACTAAAAAGGAGAAGTTTGACTTACCTCCATCTGCAACATCCAGATAGACACCAAAAGCAACCAAAAAATAAAGCTTGTTAGTTAGAGACTGTAAAGAAAGTTATTATTTTGAAAAAATAAAATCCAATGGAACTACATAACTACATCACAAAGCTTGGCAATTGGCTGTAAAAGAACATGAAAGTTTCGGTATTAAGAATCACAGAGATCAAAAGCACCAAACTTTACGACCCGGTATCACAAGATCCGATTTTTCCTGAGCAATCAACTATACAGAAAGAGAAAACGGAAACAGAAATTCACCTCTCTGTATCTGGTGAGGTAAATCTTAAGCGGATCTATGTAGTCTTCAAACCCTAGAGTCGCCATAGCCCAGAGCAAGTCATCGCCATTAATCGTCTTCCTCTTTTCCCTCTGGCATTTATCACTCGCCCTAACCAAAATCCATTCCCAAAAATTAAGCCAAAATATAAACATAAAAAACAACAACAATAACAGAGAAAAGCTCGATCTCATTCATACTCGCTGGTGATGAAGCTAATGAACTCAGAAACACATTCCTGAACAGTCTCCTTCGCGTCTTTGGCAATTTTTCCGTTCGCCGGAAGCGCCTTCTTCATGATCCGGCTGATATTGGCGATCGGGAGGTACCGATCCTGCTCACGAACATTCGAGCGCGGGCTCTGCTCTCCGCCGCTCTCGTGGCTTCCGCCTCCTGGACTCGCCGGAGCTTCCGCCATCGCCGCCGCCGCAATAAACACGAAACCCTAACCCCCAACCAGCACCAAACAACAACAACAACAACAAAATCGCTCAAAACCAAAACCACAAAAACAACAAACTCTACGTCCGCCATGATTAGGCGAAAACGAAAAAAGGACCGAAGAAGAAATGGAAGAGAGAGAAACAGAACAAACAGAAATCATGTATATATGTAGAGAGAGAAAGAGAGAGAAAGTGTTGGTGTGTGTATTTGTAGGAGAGAGAGAGTACCAGTAAGAAGGGAAGTTTTGTAAAATTTGGGCGCGAGAATTATAGATCGAGTGGTAATGGAGAAGGATCGGACGCTGGAAAAGAGAGGTGATTGGAGACGACTCAGATGAGAGAATGAGGTTTATCAGCACCGTTCGTTGCTTTTATTCTTTTTTTTTCATTTTTTTTTTCTCTTTCTTTCTTTTTTGATGATCAGAAATTAATTAATTACTTTCTTTTTCTTTAATTAATTAATAGTGGCTAATCGTTTTCCGTGTTCTTCGGGTGCTCCTAAGTCTGATTAGACCACGTGTTTTTGGCGTTTTCGTTTATGGTCTTCACTCTCCTGTTTCTCCGAGAAAGAAGGGAGTTTGATCTCCTCTCCAACGCATCGTACCACCAAATGATTTACCAATATTGAAGGAAAAAAAAATCTTTTAGAAATTTCACTATCTAATTCTATTGAGGTAATAAATTTTTTAGAAAATTCCGAACAAATATCAGAAGAATATGAAAATTTGGGTTACTTTATTATTGAGTTTTATAATTTTGATATTTAAAAATTGAAAAATAAATAAATATGACGTTTTCTTAATATTTAGTTAGAAGAATATTCATTTTTTATTTTTTTATTTCTTACGGTAATAAATTAAAAAACTTTAAGGGTCTGTTTAGTTTGTTGGTTCTAGTTGAGATGTAATTTTATATGATAGCTTTAAATTATAATAAAAAAAGTTAGATGTAACTGTTTCTGAGAGCTTTTTACTGTAGTAAAATTTAAATTCTAAACTCGAATCGGTGAAATGAACGAGACCTAATTCATTTTAGTACATAATTTTATGGTTATATTCGTTATTTTACTTATTTACTATGCACATTAGTGTTCCAATTCCATGTTTATGTTATTAAAAAAAAAAGTCCATGTTTATGTAGGATTCTTTTGGACTCCGTTTAATTGAAAGAATAAAAAGCAGGAAGAATTGAGAAAGTTTGAGGGTAGGTGATAGAGAGAATAACAACTTTTCTTCATATTATTTGGTAAATAAGAACAATAATGGGAAGGACGCATAGACTTTTATTTGTAAAATTATTAGGTTGCCCATATTAATTATTCACGACTTATTTCAATAACATCGATGGAGGTTGAAATAGACTATTCACACCTAAAAGTTCCATTTATGCTTTCAACCCCCCTACCTTCCACCAAATAAATTGAAAGATTGTATATAATCCTTTTCATAGTTCACATAATCCGTCTTTCCTCTTCCTTTTCTTTTCTATCAAACATACCCTTGGATTGTGTTTACCAAGAGAGAAAGGAAACATGAAAAAAGAAAGGCATAGCACATGAGTAACGAAAATAGAGAAGTTTCGTTTAATTCACTGATTCGAGTTGAGAAGTAATTTTATGTGAAAACTTTTTACTGTAACAAAAAAATTAAATATGACTGTTTCTGAGAAATTTTTACTGTAACAACTCGAATCAGTGAAATGAACATGACCTTAATACATTGCTCTCTACTCGTCTTAACGACAAATCAAAATATGTTGTCCCACTTTCATGTCTTTGATGGTTGTCACTTCAATTAAATTTTAACATCTCATGAATTGCTCAATTCCTTCTATTCCAAGTTAGCCCTCTTGCAATATTGAAAATGAGTTTTATTTTCTTGCAATATCGAAAACGAGTTTTTAGTAATAAAAAAAGCATGAGATAGTCATCATCTATTTAGGCCTCGTTCATTTTACCGATTCAAGTTTTTAATTCTAAATTTTTACAGTTAAAAACTTTTAAAAAATGTCACATCTAACTTTTTTTACTACAGTTAAAAACTCTCAGAAAATGTCACATCTCAACTCAAATCCGCGAAGAAAACTAAACGTTAATAGTTCGGGACCAAATAAAGAATTTACCCTTTTTTTTTTGGGCTGGAGGGGGGGTTCTAGTGGGACCCAAAATAAACATGCAATTTGACTTTTCATCTTAATAATATGGGTGTGGCACTAGCGCACACAAGCATAAGATTAGAAGGCTCCTCTCGGTCTGCCAAAAAAATGAATTGGGTTAAACTTTTTCTCTCCTTTTTGCCCCATCTTTCTATAACATAAACATATTGAATGTCCTATAGACACGAAGAAAGCAGCAAAAAAGAGACCAATAACAACATGGGCATCATGTCGGGTCATAAGAATACCAACTGTGACAAGAGGTACAGAACCTGGTCTAAAACATGTTTAACGGGGCCACAAAAATGGACCCCAATGATCAGCCGATGATTCATCTCGAGAACGTTGCAATCAATCTATAAGTTGGAGAAGCCAATGAGGATGCTAGGAATTCAACTGAACTAGTGAAGATGCTTCAACAAGATTCAAGCCAACGGCAGCTCTACTGAAACTTTGATATCAATCCAAACGCGAATCATTGAAATGCCTTGCCTCCGTCACCCTTACGAAGAGATAAGAGAAACATTGCAAGGCAATCTGGCATAGCTGAAGTCGCGATCACTTATGAACCCTGATATAAAAGGACTGAGATGGTGATTAACTGCGGTAATGGACTTGACAACAGAGCTAGACTCATATATAGTTCAATTTTAATTTACACAATTGAAAGTAGAAAACACAAAATTATATCACAGCGGGAATTCATCTCCATACCTCAGCCAGGCGAATCCTCAATTTAATCAAGTGATTCTATAGCCAGGTTCTTCTCTTTACCTGAAAGGAAAAAAAGAAAAAGAAAAAGAAAAAAAAAAGCACAATGAATCACATACAGTCAAGTTTCATACCAACTTAATACTTATACTCCAATTCAGGAGGGAATACAGGCAAAAAATATTGACAATTCTAATTTCAAAATCTACCAAATAGATGACCAAGTATGTGGCCAGAAACAATGTACCATTCTTTTCATGATCTGCAAATACCCTAGTATTTATATGAGGCCAAAAGAGTTGTAGTTATAAAACATTGCTAAGAGAAAAAACTACGATATAGTTGGCCTTGGCTTGCTTACCTCAGAACATTCATATTCGGTTCTCATATCATGCTTGCACACAGGACAGAACGTACCCCATTTAATCAGCCACGAGTCCACGCAACTTGAATGATACTCTGCAAGTGCCTTTCAAGTTGGTTAATTGACAACTAGGAACTATATATGCCAGGATGAGAAAATATTAACGAGAATAAATTCCAAACGTTGACTAAGGTCAAAACTATAAGTGCCTACCAATATGATGTATTTCAATTATGTGCATCGACACAAAAATACTTGTGAAAAATGAGAGCAACCCAACATAATCATGAAAATGGAGTCTTACCATGCCTGCAGGGAAGAACTTTAAGGATCTCTCCATCTTTGTAATCCTCAAGGCAGATGGCACAAGTTTCTCCAGCATGACAATCACTCGAATGAGCAGAGCTGAACGTGAAGCAGGGCAGAGCTTCCACCATCTTCACGTCTACATTTCTTGGGAGATTATTTCTCCCCCTTGAAGTCAGCCAACGTCTAGGGGTAAAGATTGCTACCATCAAAATAGCTAATATGACAATAAATGAGATAAAAGATATTGCCAACACAGTCCAGGCTGTTTCACTATTAAACGGGAAGATGCAACACTCGCCATCTTCCCCTCGAGCATTCTCCTTCAGAATTTCACCAGCTCTCTTAGAAATAAAAACCGCGTGCACCGAAACATTCTCGCGATTTACCATCACTACAAACAACAAAAAGAAAATAGCATATAACAGTCAAATACTACAACTTCCCATTAGTTATTAACAAACAGCCAATGACTCCATATTTTGAAGATTCTTTAACCCCATTTCTCTCTCTTTTTATTATTCTTTTTAATGTGTTTTGGGATTTTATCATATCCCATTTGCAGATAGAACAAATAAAGGAACAAAATAATAAATGCAATAAACAGAAATTTTAAAGGGACAAAAGGGCTCACTATAAACCAAATTTCCTTTGTCCTGATTGTCATAGACAATTGCAGCATTAAATCCAGCCTTTTGAGCATTTCGGACTTTATCTTCAAAAGCACATTCACCCCTAATTATCAGAGCAAAATTTATTCCACCGATATTTGTCGATCGAAGATCATTGCTTAGTGATCTGCAAGCATCTAGAGGATTTACAACATGAAGAGCTCCGCATATACCAGAATCATTGACGCCAACAGCTATTAAGAGGCCAAAAAAAGAAAAAAGAGAGATAATCATACCAGTTTTTTTAACGAGAGAAAGATAAACCGAAGAGAATTGTTCATTGTTTTAGCAAATATGTTACATGAAAAATGGTAAGAAGAATGTTCGTCAAGTTAAGAAGATAGTAGGCAGAACTTAAGCATACTTTCTCGCGGTTTCCGGCAATTTCTTAGCAGCCAAACACCAAAAGATAGAGAGAGACAGATAAATTTTAGAATAAAATTTTGCAAAACAGTTCAACAAAAAAAGGAACAACTTTCTTCGAGTTAAGATAATAGTAGGCAAAAATGAAGCATACTTTCTCTCGGATTCCAGCAATTTCTTAGCAACCAAACCCCAAAGAAGGACAAAAGAAAATATTAACCAACTTTGGCGGGAAGATCGATGGAAAAAAAACACAAAAAAGAACATAATCATATTGTTTTACTTGTCAAGTTTTAGCAAATATTACATGCAAAATAGAATAATTTTTTGCAAAACAGTTCAAAAAAATAAATAAATAAAACGAAAGAAAGAAACTTTCGTCTAGTTAAGATGATAGTAAGCAGAATAAGCATATTTTCTCTCGGTTTCCAGCACTTTCTCGGCAACCAAACACCAATTGGAGAGAAAAAATTTACCAAATTTGGCGGGAAGGTCAGTGAAGGACATGGACAAGGATCTGAGAAGAATAGTAGAAGAGGCAAATTGGATAACATTAAGAGCTAACCCTAGCCACAATCCAAGCAAAATGCCTCTCATTTTTCTCTTTATCACCTTCAATTACCTGAATCCAAAACAAACAAAAAAAAGAAGAAGAAAATATTAATTTAGATAAGATAAACACATATTCTGCATCAAAACGAGCTATAAAAGTGAAAATTTTAAAAATTAAAAGAAAAAAAAAGAAGAAAAAATTAAGAGAAGAATGGGGAAATAAACACCTCTTGCATCAAGAGCTTCTGGGTTTGGTTTCAATGGCTTGAGTTGCTGGGAAAAAATTATTACAATACCAATTGAAAATTAGCAAAAAAAAAATGAAATATTCCAAAAAAAAAAGAGAAATAAAGAAAAGGAGAAGAAAAATACCTGGTGATATTTCTGAGCTTATAAAAAAAACGTATCTTTAATCTGAGCAGGTGAGCTGAGGTTGTTGTAGAAGTTTCAGTTTTTTTTTTTTTATATTTTTTTTGGCGTTTTTGGTAAGGACGTGTCAGGCGAGAGAGTTTGGATTGCAGATGACAACTCTGGTGGGCCCAGCAAGAGCCAACACCGTTTGCATCCTTAGATCACGTTCAACACGTACCGTTGGATCATATGCATTCCGTCTATTTATTTATTTATTATTTGTTTGTTTGTTTTCTATAGTATTATTCCCTTTATTAAGTAAGAAATTAAAATTATAGGGTTCGTTTAAAACTCGTTTTAAAATAATTTTATTTTTTTTATAAAAATAAAAATAAAAATATTTTTAATTTCAGACATAAATTATTTTTAAAAATGTGTTTAATAATTTTATCAAAAGATTATTTTTAATATAAAAAAATTTATTAATGTCTCTCTTTACTCGAGAGAGGAGAAAACGAAAATAAAAAATAAAAAATGATTAAAAGTCATTTTTCATTTCTCTTTTATTTTACACTAAACTAAAAAATCATTTTCATTTCTGTTTTTTATCTTTAATTGTGTAAAATACCGTTTCTCTCATATTTTCATTTTTTTTTCTCAAAAAACGTAAAATACAAAAATAAAAATAACTCCAAACACAACCATAGTTTTTCATGACAGAGAACGTTAATCTTCTCCAATTCTTTTCACAATTTGAATCACAATTTAAATTTATATTTTTTTCTCATATAAATTTATTTTTTAATTCAAACTCTCAATTCCAACCCGTAAAACAAACGGAAAGGTTCTTGTACCTATTTAATTAATTTTAATGGTTCAAGTTAATGAGTTCATGTATAAAGTAATGCACCATACACCACAAAAATACTCTCACTTTCATACAAAAATTATTGACATATTTTTTTGCTAATGACAAAATTACTGATATGTGAGGCCATAATTACCGACATAATAGTGTTAGTAAAGAAAGTATATTGATAAGTAGTGTTATATGAAATATTTGTTATTATTAACCCTTTAATTACCGTTTTCTCCTATAGTGTCGTTTTTATTCTTGGCTGCCATTTTGTTTGACAGTTGTAGTTTATCTATGGCCATGATTGTCGTTTTCCCCTCCTGACGTTGTCGTTCTCTTTTAACTGTCGATGTACCTTTGTTGTTTACTTGTTTTCTTTCTTAATGTTGTCGTTGTTTCTGCTGTCGTTTTCCTGATTGTTGTCTTTTTTGAATAATTTGATCAAATAAATACAAACAATTCACACAATTCACGCGCTAATTAAAAAAAATGGCGAGGGAAATACAAACTAAAACATCAGTGGATGTGGAATAATAACTAAGCTAAACTTTCAATCAGTATAGACAGAATTAACTGAAATTTTTAATAGAGAAATGAATTCTAAACAAACCAGATAAGCATAATGAAAATTTAAATGTAAAAATCTATCTATGTGAAAAAAAAAAAGTACTCTTTAGTCATAAATTCGCGTGGACCAAAATTTTATCTTAAATCATTTTGTGTTCAAATGCCTAAAATTCAATTATAAAACTAATCAAACAAACATGAGTCTTATCTGTTACAAGTTATTACATGACATGTTTTATCATCGTATAGTCATCAATGAATCCTCACCTATATATTTGTTTTCAACATTTTCATATTTCTATGTCAAATTGATTATATGCGTGTGCGTGTATGTATATATGTATGTATGAATGTATTGAATGGAAAACATAAACTATTACGCTATTGCAAAAGCCTTTGCCACCACTCAGAAAAATATATATATATATATATATATATATATATTTAGAGTATGAAACATATGATGCAAAAGCTTTACCAAAATCAGCATTTACAAGCTCAATTTCTGCTTTCTCCACATTTGTGGACGAGTAGTTAGCAACTTAGCAGACGCACGAGGATATGAAAGCAATCATTAAAGAAGAAGAGACGTATGTACTTGTTTTGTACAGTACAACCAACCACGCTATACTACCGAGCACTTGGTTGTGCAATAGACGCATCAAGGGCCAAGAAATTTTCAGTTCCAATAATGTCAAGGGAGCCCAAGTTGAGGGAAGAATGAGCCGAGTTCCTCGACGTGTCATCTGAGTTACCACCTCTCAATGTCGCGGCTTCTTTTTCCATCATGATGGCGTCTTGGATCTCCTTGAGCACCTCGGATATCGATGGCCTCATGTACCCGTGTGGTTGGACACACATCAAGGCTTTCTCCGCTATCTTCCACATCGATTGGATGTCGTATTCGTTGCGTAAGACGGGGTCAATGATGCCTTGGATGTCACCACTCTCAATGTGTAGCTTTGCCTGTGTTGTAGAGAAAATTGTGAAGGGAAGAGTTACCCACATGAGGGTACAAACTACAAAGAAAATGTCTAAAATAAAACCAATTATGAAACTGAAATTAGACTCTTACCCACTGGACAATGTTGCGGCAATTAACACCAAAGCTTTCATTGGATATTGCTTCTTGACCAGATATCAGCTCAAGAAGAATGACACCGAAACTATAAACATCACTCTTGTCTGTCAATTGTTGAGAGATGTAATACCTGCATATCAATGAGAAGATTAAAAAAATGATGCACCATTTTTGGAAGTAAGCCTGTGTTTGGTAAGACGGAAAGAAAATAGGAAGAAAGGAAGGGTTAACCAAGGTGAAATTGTCGACTAAGGGAGGACCTTTCTTTTATTGTGTTTGGTATGGATTCCCTCCCTGAATCCTTTCAACTTTGAAAAAATCAAAATTAGAATCATGTGGAGGATTTTGAATTCCGCAGCTAATCCACTCTCTCCTTTAATCCCTCCTCCTAAACAGTCACGAGTCTTAATCCGTCCACTAATTCGCGCACCCTATCCCTTTCTTCCACTTTCCTCTCCTACCAAACTAGGCCCAAGTGTTTGCTAATCAGATACAAATTTCATCGGGTGAAAGAAGCTCAACAACTCCAACTTAAACCTATCCTTCAACTAAAATTGCTATTACTAAGCAAGAAATTTTAGCACTAAAACAATGACTCGTGGAAAGTACTCTAAGAACAGAAGTTGATGCTTCATTAACAAGATGAGTAATATCAACAATGTTTTTTAACTTGTCTTAGATATGATGCTTAAATTAAGATGAAAGTTTTACTGATGGATGGAAGAGGGCCTTACTCAGGATCTAGATAGCCCACAGTGCCCCGAACTATGCTCGACACATGGGACACTCCATCTACCGCGAGTTTGGAAAGACCAAAATCTGCAACCTTAGCTCTCATGTGCTTGTCAAGCAGAATGTTACTGCTTTTCAAATCCCTATGAATAATGGCTGGAATGCAGCCTGTGTGAAGGTATTCAATCCCTGAACAATTACGTGAAGATTTGAATCAATTCATTACTCATAAGAGCGCTATCTGTGGCAGTAAAATAAGATAATAACCTAAGTACTTAAAAACCTTTTGCGGCATCTTCAGCAATCTCGAGACGCTTGATCCAGTTGATACTTCGTCCATGTGTTAGCGGCCCTACAAATAGTGCACAAAACGTTGAGCATCTAAACTTATGCAGATGCTTTTGAGTTTACATGTGATCTTACCATAAAGATGTTCCTTGAGAGTTCCACTATGCATGAACTCATAAACAAGCATACTTCTCGCATCTTCTTGGCAATATCCATGAAACTGTACCAGATTCCTGTGATGTATCCTTGAAAGAAGAGTCACCTTTATCAAACAAAAGCACGGATCAATGGTTAAGAAAGGAGGGAAGACAAGTACAATGACACAATATGGAGGAGATTCATTAGTAACGGGAAAAACTTGCCTCATTCGAAAACTCTCGCTTTCCCTGGTAGGAATTACTGGTCAAAACCTTGACAGCAATTTCTTTTCCATCTTTCAATTTCCCATAGTATACAACTCCAAAACCTCCAGAACCAATTTTCTTCTCAAAGTTATTGGTAGCATTTTCAATTTCGGTGAAGGTGAAGCAATGTGCAGCTTCTGCGGGAGCATCAGATCTGATAGATACTGGGAGAGACTGGCCAAGCGGTTCTGTAACAAAATACAATCAACTCCATCACATTTGAGCCAATCAAAACTTGTCTTATTCTTCTTCTTCTTCATCTTTTTTTTTTTTTTTTTCATTGCTATTTAGAAAGAAAATAATGGAGATACTTATCATTGTGCTGGAACTGTACCTTGCTCGTGATTTCTTTTCTTCCCTTTGTGCAAACATATGCAAGACACAATAGTAGCTATAAGTAGAATACCAGCGCCAACCGATGAACCAACAATAATGTTTGTTCGGCTTTGACCTGTACTCCCTTTACTAAGATTTATGTTTCCTGAATAGCTGCAAAAAACCAAAGTAAGAAGGTGATGGTATAAGAGATCAGCTATTTATAGATACTGTTAAAGTTTCAATAACAAAGGATCAAATTCTCAAGATGTACATAATTTAATAATTTGATAAATCTAGTTTTATCTGTAGAAAGGAATACTTACTCTAAAACTAAACTTTTGTTGATAAGGCCCTTTGGCACTGTTCCAGATAACTTGTTATTTTGCACATACCTACAATCATGAAATTCGCCAATTATAACAGCTATTATATTCAACATACGAAAATAGAATTTCTTGGGATAGAAAACTTACAATTCCTTCAGATTGGGTAGGTTTGTCAAAGAGGAAGGCAGCTCTCCTGTCAATTGATTGTTCTCAAGATGACTGTACAATACAAACAAAAGAGACACATGGGTTAGCTTGGAGTTTTCAACAAAACCACGATTAAGAGCACATGACATCTGAGATTACATTATCCTTAAGTCCACGCATCCGGTGAAATCAGGAATTGGACCGGTCAGTGAATTCCCATCAAGCCATCTGCAATCACGAGACGAATGGATAATGGTAGTAAGCTACGAAATCTATGGAACTAAAGCGCGAAAAAACCTGCCACCACCCAGAAAAACAAGAATGCAATGGGAGTACTTACAACTCGGTTAGGTCGCTCAATTTTGTCAAGTCTAAGGGGATGCTCCCTGTCAAATTCTGACTAGACAATTTACTGCCAATCACAAGGCACACAGTTATGATTAGTTCCAAAACACTTTTCCTTCAGAGATATGGACTAAATGCAAATTATAATATAACCAATGAAACCTTCAAAAGAAAAAAGTTTACATTGAAACTATTCTTGGTTGTGGATCTGTGTTACATCGAACCCAAGACCATGAAACTGGCAAGCAAGGATCACCACCTTCTTGTGCCCAGTCAGATGAGTAGTGTGAAACTAAATTAGCAGCAATGGGCCCTGAAAGTTTTGCAAACTCCAAGATCAGAAATGACAGTAAATCATCAAAATTTAGTATGAAATTGAGCAAGAGCAGTAACAGTATCCACTAGTGCTCTTACCATCTAGAGAACCTTCATTTTTCTCCAAATACTTGTTTATCTCCATTGCATTCAGGAGCGGCCCCCTGGAAGAGTCTGAAGTTTTCCCAAATCGAAATGACAATACAAAGGGAAGAGAGAGGTTGGTATATCCTGGCTCATAGAGGCGGTATTTTCCTTGAGCATTTTCTTCAATGTTAACAATAGGTTTGCTGACATCAGTATTGCCTGGAAGCACTAGCCTAAATTTTCTGGACTCATCTGGAGCGAGATCTTCGATCTCCGAAAAGTAGGTGACTGCCCATCCACTGCCAGGAAAACCATCCAAGTTCAACCGGTATGTTAATGATCCGTTTGTACCAACTACAGCTGTCTGCATAACTTTTTCAGGTGGCCTCTCATCCCTGTTAACATCAACTGGCATTTTCGTCGACACCTTTTTCGTTCCGGGAGCAACGTCGACAAGGTAATTTGCTTTCTTCAAAGAGTCAGACTCCCATAGTCTATCAAATGGATCATCAGGATACCTGAAAATGATAGACACGGGGATTTTTCAAAATGTAATACCTCCAATGAAGATGCTAAGTATCCAGATAAATTAAATAAGTATCATTCTGTTCTTTTGCAACAGACACATATGACAAATGAGGCTGTGCTCGGTAAGAGATAAAGAAAATAGGAATGAACGTAAGGAACATAACCTAGGAAAGGAAAATACAGAGGAAAGAGAGGATCTTTCTCTTGTTGTATTTGGTGTGGATTCCCTCCTCCAATCCTTGCAATGAAAGAATCAAAATTGAAGTCCTATAAAGAATTTTGAATCCCTCACCCAATCCATTCCCTCATCCAATCCCTCTACCAAACAACCATAAGTCTTATAATCCAACCATTGATCCTCTCACCCCTATCCCTCCTTCCACTTTTCCCTACTACCAAACAAGATGATAATATCATCACTAATTACTCCTTCCCAGAGAAAATTTTCAATCTTAGAATGAAGGGTGTTTCAAGTATCATATTAAGTTTTCTCGTCTCATAAAGCTTGATGGGACATGCCACATACACTGAAAATACACTCAAATAAACAGGGAGCAAAGAAAATTTAAACTCAGACATATTCTTCAACATACCTGACTGGCGCTTCACTATCTGCGCCAAAATTTATCCTGGCAGAGACAGTGAGGTAGAACTCCTCTTCAAAATCTGTATAATAAACCGAACCATTGAACTGCCGGAGCTCAAGGGTCGATATAAACGGCTGCCCGGTTGTGGCATTGGATAAACACATACTGATAGTAGGAGTTGAAGCCAGAAATATAAGCTCCCTCACCTCTATAGCACTGGCATCCGAGATCACAATCGTCGACCAATGGGTTGCCCCAAGAGAAATATCAAACTTTGGATAGACATTGTTGTTGTCAAAGTTACCATACAAGAATGTTGCCCTTATAAGGTACCTAGTCCTACTTGTGACATTAAGGGTGTAACAATACTTCCTTGTATCAGCTGGGAAGTGTCTGAGAGTCGTGTATTGCCTCCTCGTCTCGTTTGCAACCGAAATTTTGGCCGTCTCCCCGTAAATAAGTTGGTCGGGACTCCATATTAGCCCGATTTCATCGGTGTAAGATTCGGTGCCTCCACAATCTAAACTCACAAAACCTGGTTCAACAAGAGATATTTGCACAAATTCCAAAATCTTGTTAAGAGGAAGTTCAACAAACTAACGACATAATTATTTAGAACTTAGAATTTCAATTAAATTTGTTCCAAAAGAAAATGCTAAAAGAAAGTTCAACAAGCTAATATTTTTCAAACCTAAATTTCTAAAAACTTACTTTTTTTTTTCCTTAACATCTCTTTTCAAAACTAAAACTTAAAGCAAATTATCTTAGTCTACTTCTCTTCGTTTTGTTAATTTCTTGCTATTTTCTTTTCTTTCTTTTTTTTTAACAAGAAAATCATGCTGAAAGTAAAGCAGCTTACAACATCATCTTCGAAAAATATATACACAATAAACCATATTTAACTTCAAAAAAAAAAAAAAAAAAAAAAAAAACTTGACGTGTTGAGCTTGGCAGTTCCAATCTTAAACCAAGACTATAGTTTTCCGAGTTAACAAATTTTATCAAAAGAAAAAAAAGGAAAAATCACATATTATTCAGAATCATTTCCATTAACAATCTGAAAAAAAAAAAAAAAAGAATCGAACTTTGAAGAATATGAACAAAAGAAAAGAAGCTCAAAAGCCTCAAACGAACAACGATTACATCACACCTATACATACACATATACATATATACAGACAGACATTCACGTATCGACCTAGAGAGAGAAAGAGAGAGAAACCTGGCATCTGAGCGGAAGAGCAATCGAGAAGAAGAGGAAAAACGACAGAGAAAAGAAGAAGAAGCATCTTCTTTTTCGCCATTGCCTAAAGATCAGAATCCAACCCGCGACGTGAGCAAGAAAAAAGAAATGATTGAAAAGAACCAAGAAAACCAAGTTGAAACAAAAGAACAAAAAAAAAAAAAGCGTTTTTCTCTTCTACTTATTCTACAGAGTCCAGCTATATACTGTTTAAAAGTGTTCTTCACAACTCACTACTACTCAACTCGCTACTTCCACCAAAAGTCCCAAATAAATAAGTTTTATATACCCAATTATCAAATAAATAAATTAATTAATTAGTTTTATACATCTAAACCAAACGCCGCCTTATAAAAAAAAACTCAAAATTCCCTTCTTTTTAAAAAAAAATTCTTTTGTATGTTTTTGTTATCAGTGAACGAAGACTGGAGAGGAGTAAGTTTGAAAGAAATGATTTAGAGAGAGAGAGAGAGAGAGAGAGAGAGAGAGAGAATGGAGTTTGGGAAAGGGGGATAGGTGGGGTCCAGTGAAAAAGATTGTAGTGTGAGATGGGTGTTGGGTTATTAGATGCCGCTTGATGAGAAATATCAACGGTTGAGGGTTTCCCAATCGGGTAACCTTTGTATTAGGAAACAGTCTTTGAGGGGCCCACCATTTATTTTTGCACCTAGTCACGTCGCATCGGTTAGCTGACTATTTTGATTTTTTTTTTCCTTTTTTCTTTTTGTTTTCAGATTTTTAAAGCTTACGGGGTTTTTTTTTCCCCCTTTTATCTTCTTTTTAATAGTGAATTAAAAAACAAAACAAAATTAATGTAAGCCTTTTGTTTTAGTTTAGTTCTCGCCATTTCGATTTTTAATTAACGGAGAAAAATAATCTAATTGAAAACCTTGATTTGGTTTGTTGGATAAATACATAGCACTTTATCTTCATAAAATTAAAAAACAAAAAAAGGGTTTTCGATATTTTTCTTTTCGGTTGGGGAAGGATTTTCAAGATTGATGTTAGATGTATACATTTTGTAGTCTTATCATAATTTTTCCATTGAATTTATAAATAACAATAAATTAAAAAGGTATAGAATTACAATCGTTTGTATGCACTATGGAAAATATAATATTCCAACACGTGCGCCCATCATCTAATGTTCTCACGAAACTTCCAAATTTGTCATTAATTGCAATATAATTCATCAGATTATCCAAAATCCAATGCCTTTAAAAGCACTCTATATTGATGTCGTATTAAATTTTAAACAACTTGTATTCAATAATGAAAATCCAATAACAATTATTGACGGCTACTACTTACTGGTTAAATAACAGATTATATGGCGCTTCTGCGAGCAAAACGACAACAAAAACAACAAAAACAATAAATTGTATGGAGTTTCTACAACCAAAACAAAAACGACAAAAACAATAAATTATATGGAGTTTTTACTTTGCGTTAAACCTTATATTTGGGCTTCGATATCTTCTCTTGCATTTTATATAAGGAGGAAAATAAGTGAAGATTTAAGATGAATTAAAATTAATAGGTTAATAGTTTATATAAGTTAATAAATAAGTTAAATTACTGTTTTCGTCCATAACTAGTCTGGTTATGAACCATAACTTGACAAGTTATTGTCTATAATTGTCTATAACTTATCTGGCTATGAATCATAACTTGACAAGTTTATCCATAACTTATCTGGTTATGAACCATAACTTGACAAGTTATAGCGTATTAATTTTTATAACTAAAAATTAGTATATATACTTTCTTAAGCTTTTCATATTGACCTATTTTCTACTATTTCCCTTTTATAACTAAAAATATTAGAATAACCATTAAAATCACACATATACACACACACACGCATACCATATATGTATATTAGTGTGCAGACTTCCTTTGACCTGGCCAGAAGAGAGAACTAAATCGTGGGAAAATACTGTATGTATTCGAAAGTGAAAACGTATATATTGACTAAAAGAAAAGAAACTTGAAACCCTAATAGATAACCGCATGCATTTTCTGCATAAACAAAGCGGTAAAGCTTTCACATTCCAACGAAAAATAACACTAATAATAATCATTGTTCTCATTTATAGACCAACTCTTTACCGTCAATTAATATAGCATATGAAAGAAAAAAATTAAGCAAATTTTGCAACTAATGTAGAAAATTACTATAAAAAAAAAAAAAAAAGCATAGCATACAATTCTATTTGTTCAAAGAAAAAATAAATAATATAAGTAAAGAAAACGACATATGAGAAGACATGATTCACACATGAAACCTGTAGTTATTTATTACTATAAATATCTTTTTTTCATAAATGGACCCCATTGCACATTGTTTTTTCATTGGTATAGAACATGGGCTCGACCAGAGTTGACCACGAATTTGGGACCTTGTTTCTCAAGTATTAAATTTATACTTTTCTTTGATTTTTTATTACATTAATATTTTTGGGATAAGCAAAGTATATTAGGTTAGATTAGTAACTTAGGTTCTTTGTTCAAAGCTTCAATTTTCTTTGTGGATATTAATGTTCAACTTCTTCGAGGAATATTATTTTTCCTTATTTTTTTAATATTTTCAACTTACTTCTTCGAGAATCGTTGAATGTAGACTTGGAAATCTCATTAGGTCTTTGTGTTAATATATCTTGACCCTTCAAGATCAAATTGATATTAGAATATTAGTGTTAAGAATATTCAGAGTATGTCGTTTTCTTTCTACCATTAATTGTTGACCTTGTGCGAATATGTAGCTTGCTAGTCCAACTTGTTTTCTTCTATATTTTTCTGTTGGAGAAGACGTCAAACGCATGCTATTCTCAAACTGCAAAGGAACAAATGATTAACTGAGAAAAGGGCAAAACAAAGAAAAATTAACCGTCCGTTTAGTTCGCTGATTCGAGTTGAGATGTAACTTTATATGAGAGTTTTTTACTGTAACGAAAAAGTTAGATGTGACTGTTTTTTAGAACTTTTTACTGTAACAAAACTCGAATCGATAAAATGAACAAAGTCTAATTATTATAAGTTTGTCAAAATGGAAACTGAATCCAAGGTAAATCTCCAAGATGAAAGATAATAACTAATCCGAGATATTTACCATTTGTGCTGAAGTTTAGGATCATGAATTCATAGTAGCCATGCTAGTAATATTCTTGGATCTTGGTGAGGGTAGATAAATAAAAATGGTAGAAAATGAAATGAAATGATAATTCTTTAGGTACGGTAAGTAACATCAATTTTTGTTAAATATGTACATAAAATTTACCTTCAAGTTTAGTGTCCATTCACTACTTATATATCATATCATAATTTAACAATATATCCATATGTATTGGAACTAAATTCTGATTTGCTAACATAGCTTTTACAAAATTTGTTAAAGCAATTGTCAAGAACTGAAAGGCATCATTAGGGTAATTTTTGTTATACCTACCACAAAATTCTCAAAAAGCCCACTTCTTAGTCTTCGTCAATTTCACTTTTTGCCATATTGGATCCTGATTTGCCTTGTATTTTTTATTTTTATTTTTTCAGAGGGAATGATGAAGTGCTACCAATGCCTTTTGTCAAAGTGCAAGATGAGCTTTGTTTGATCTTTACAAAAAGATGCCAGATTTATCCATCCTTTTTTTAATGCCTCCACTTTTCTACTTTACTTGTTGGACTTTGTTGTTTGGAATCAAATTCTACAGGCAGTATGTAAGAGTTTAGTGGCGAATGCCTGCTTTTAGGATTAGAAAAATGAAATAAACCATTTCTTAGTGTCTAAGTTTGTGAAGACAGCCACTAGAGACCTATAATTTTGGAATAAAACAGACTAAGTTGAACTTGAAGTAGTTTGTGCACCACTGACCAAACAAACCACTTTGTCATGTCATGTGATGAGTGTTGGGTTGGATGATTTGGCCAAAATGAAAATAAATCAGTTTCTTATTTGTGTCTATATGAATATGTATGTATGTATGTATATATATATATATATATATATATGAGTTGATTTTGAGGGCCTTAGAAGTTATAGTTTGCTATGGTGTTTCAGTTATTTATTGCAAATGCAAAGCTCTAATTCTAATACATTATAATCTGTTGTGTTAGTATCTTAGTTCATCCATTACTAAGCTCTAAATCTAACCCAAGATTTAATCTTTTCACATTAAAAAAAAAAAAAAAAAAAAAAACCTCTGACGCAATTTTGATTTGGAGCGAAGTTGGACAAAATATGTCCATAACTGATAACTCTATCCCTACCCGTCCAGTAGTATGAATAGAAAGTATTGCATGTTAGTTGTTTCTTTCTTTTTATTTTTTTCTTTTTTTTTTCTTTTAACCAAATGAATTTGTTGTTTTCTGTTGTCACAATCTGGTGGTTTCTTCCTTTCGATGAAATTGATAATTGAGTCTATGATTCGGACACAAAAGAACAAAAACAAGAAAAAGTAAAAATGAAAAAATAAACAAAGCAAAACAAAGCTCGCTACCTTAACCACAGAAGCTAGATATAAAGCATAATCTTATTAGTCATATTGAAATATAATAAAAGAAATTAAAAAATTTATAAATAACGATCATTAAAATGCTTACAATAATTATTGTATAGTTTTATAACATAAAATATGACTTATTATAATAATTATTACATAATTATACTACTTATAATAATTATTACATAATTAAATTACTCTTTAAATATTCCAAAAAAGTGATTAGATTTCAATTCCAATAGTGGATTTTCTCTAATTTATTATACAAGACTGATTTACAATGCCCAACGCATTGTTCATTATAAAGCTAAGAAACTTGGGCTGGCCTGATAGTCATCCCAGCCCAGCCCAATCACCTACTACTCATGTAACATAAAAGAATATTAAAAATAAATCAGAAACAGGATAATTAGCAACGTTGGTTCTTCAACTTTGAACATAATGACATTTGGGTTGGTATTAGAAATAAAATAATTAGCAACGTTGGTTCTTCAACTTTGAGCATAATGTCATTTTGTTTGGTATTAGAAATAATTCAAAAATAGGATAATTAGCAATGTTAGTTCTTCAACTTTGAACATAATGACATTTTGGTTGGTATTAGAAATAATTCAAAAATATGATAATTAGCAATGTTGGTTCTTCAACTTTGAGCATAATGACATTTTGGTTGGTGAACTTTCAATTTTAATTTTGACAATTAACTTCTAAATTTGTAGAAAAGAAAGAAGAAAATATGCTCATCTCATACATTGAAACCCACATACATACATGACCCCATAATATTATCAATTACACATTACATTAGTCATACAAATAAATGGAAACAAATAAACTTTCTGAGAGTTATGAGACTCTTATTTCCATAACAAGAACATGCAATTCAACAACAAAACTCAAGAAACTTGGCATGAAATGGCAAACACGGGAACTTTAGTACACATTACACAGGCTGCCACACATGCCAGGCATTACCTTACTCAGCACCAGCAAATCTAGAGAGAGAGAGAGAGAGAGAGAGAGGGAGAGATTGTGAGATGTATAACGCATTGTGAAAAACAAATAAGACTGAAAAAATGAGGTCCGTTTATATATATTCACCCAAGCTCCGATAACTTCAAATGAGCTTCGGCATAATCAGCAAAGAATGCATCCTCATCCTAAATATCAGAACCAAAGTTAAAATTTCTACTCTCTTTCTTTTATTTATTTTTTTTATATATATTCACCCAAGCTCCGATAACTTCAAATGAGCTTCGGCATAATCAGCAAAGAATGCATCCTCATCCAAAATATTAGAAACAAAGTTAAAATTTCTACTCTCTTTCTTTTATTTAATTTTTTAAAAAATAAATAAATAAAACCCCATTTTTGCTTTAAGAATATTATTCTATTTAAAAGATTTTCGATCAAAATTATAAAGAGTATATTGAAGTATATATATATATATAATAGGGTACTCACTGCAGCATATTTCTCAACAAGAGGACGGAAGATGGGATCCTCTAATAGAGCTTTATCTGATGGAAGCTGGATAAGACCTTCTTTCTCTCCACTAAGAAGCTCTCTGTTCAATGAAAACCATATAAATTAGTTCATTCATCAACTTTAACCTTGCCAAGTCACAACCACAAGCATAATATAACACACACACAAAAAAAATGTTGATACAAAAATATGCACTAACCAAATAAATTTCATCAAAAGGACACAATTACTTACTTGAAATAAGAGTTATAAAAAATTAGAGGATTGGTTGTCCACGGTCCTTCAAATCCAGAGCGGTCTTTGTGACACCTACCCTGCGAGAAAAGAATTTTCCAAGTCAGAAAATAGTGTCATGATTAGGTAATGAAAATAATAATAATAATAATGAGAGAAAGAAAGAATAAAAGATTCTATATTAAGGCAAATAATAACTTGTATGTGATGGACTGATCAAGGTGTGACCGCCAGATAAGGCAACGATATCCTTGTCACTGAGACGCATATGGCGAAAAACATCCCTCAAATGATCCGAACCTGTATAAATGTGGTCATCAAACGACAACAATTATACCTTATTGTTATTGCCTTTTCCAATCATACATATAGACTTTTGGTATGGTCCTCTACTTCCCCGTAACATTTAAAAATGAAAGCATAACATTACATTTATTCAATAGTATTGTATAACACTGATCTTGTAAAGATATAATTAAGTAATTTGAGTTGTATATGTGAGAGCAAAATACTGTAGCAAAAAAGTGGAATTTAAATTTTTGTGAGAGGAAATACAGTAGCAATAAAACTTGAGTTGTGAAAAGAATAAGGCCTAAATTTTTTGGTTTTTAACGTGAATGTTAAGTTGAATGTATACTATATTATCCTTCACACAGACATATACCTATATATATAAACACACTTGTGATTAATCTTGCTAGTATTTTCAGTTAGATGAAGCAACTAATCAAGTCAACCTTTTATGGCATTGGGCAAGCGACCTTCTGGTGGTAATTCTTGTTTATCCTGCGTCAAAACAGATTCTAGAGGCTGTTAGTTATGCAAGTGTTAGAAGCCGCGACAAATGTAACGCTTTGATTGGTCAGATTAGTCAAACTGATCACACTTTATTTAGCTCAACTCTGCATTTACAAGTCCTGATGTGCAACTCTCAGAAGAAATTTCAATTGATCAGTTTCAGATATTCTTCCTCGAGATTTTATCCCTCAAACTTTCTTTCATTTTCTTTCCTAGAAAATTCTCTCTTACTTTCGTTTCTCCACATGATGGTAAAATCACTAATGGGTTTTGCTTCAAATATGTACATATCAAAGACACAATACATAAAAGTAGAATAGAGTTGGAAGACTAGCTTACGGGTCTTCCTGGGTGAAAAGGTATCTCAGGGCCTCCAGTAACTTCAACAGCAACAACTCCAGCCAACTTCAATCAACAAATTAGACATGTAAATACAAACAATCAAAAAAAAATTTAGAAAGAAAGGTTGGACCAAAATTTTGGTTTCAGGTCAAAATAATTGTAATATGATATACCTGGTAGAAGTCTGCATAGGAAAGGATTGGAAACTGCTCTTTGATGGGCTCCAACAGCCTGACCGTGATGTCGAGGCCATTGTTTGCTCCGCCGGGCGCCTGATGGTCCCAAACGGCCCTCCAGACTTCATCCCTCCAGACTTCGTCTTCACGTCGAAAGTGCCAGCTGAGTGCCATCTACATGATCAACCATTGTATTAGATTACCAATTCTCTAAAAAAAGTTTAAGCACAATTTATGCACAATTAAAAAGGTTCCAACTTAGGAACTTATTAAATAGCATATGATAAGATTTTCTACTAATTCATTTTTGGTCACATTCTTTGAATCTATATTACATCATTACCAAACAACACTGCCACAAAAGCTTTAATTAACCAAAAATAACTTCGCTTATTCTTATTTGTTCAGAAGAAAAAGAAATTATAATAAATAAAAAAAAAGAAAACCTTTTCCACGAACTTGATTTAATTAACCAAAACATCTTCACATATTCCTAAATCTTCAGAGGAAAAAGAAATTACAAAAAAAAGAGGAGAGATTTCCGAGAACTTAACCTTTTAATTAACCAAAACATGATCGCGTGTTCTTAATTTTCCAGAAGAAAAAAGAAATTACATAAAAAAAAAAACCGGACTTTTAAACAACATGAGCTTAAGTTAACCAAAAAATATTCTTTTATTCTTCATTCTTCAGTGGCAAAAGATATTATCCAAAAAATAAAAAAAAAATAAAAAGATCGGGAGGGAGAGAGAGGTTACGCGAGTCGGAGAATGATAGGAGCACAGTGCTTCTCAGCGATGAGGCCTCGAAGCTTCCTCCCTCTCTATTTCAGTAACCTTCTCTCTCTCAGATCACGTATTCTCTTCCCCGCCAGAAGTTGAAGCACTCCGAGGACGGCGACTCTTCGCGATTCCGGCATTGAGCCGAGCTGGTCGGCGACTCTCTCTCTCAATCGCGATGGAGTAGATCTCAATCTCTGCGATGGCGAGCGACAGGCGACGACGAAACTCATGGGAGATCGCAAGGAAGGGGGTCGGAGATCGTAAGGACCGGTCGTTGTCGTATCTGAGGTGAAATAGCAGATCTGATCTTGGCGATTTTTGGCTAGATCGTCGCCGTCTGTGTGTCATCCAGAACAAGATCCCGACCGAACCAGGCGGATAGGGAGTCGCCGTTGGCGTCGCCGTCCATGAGCGAGGCAGCAGACTCACCGTCGGATGTCGAGTCCGAGATCTCGCAGCACGACGCCGTGCGGCGTCATTTCAATACCCTACGAAAATAACATCAATACCCTAAAAACGACGTCAAAAAAAGTTTACTGCTGAGTTAAACGACCAAAACTTTTGAGTACAAAATTTACATGTTCTCTCTTTCTAATAATTCCTCAGGTTTGTCAGCCTTTTACACGGTTTGTTCTCGATTTTTCTTATTTTCGTATACCTTTTTTTGGTGCAGAGGCTGACAAAACTAAGAAATTATTGGAAGGGGAACATGTGGATGGAAGAATTCATGAGAGTTGAATAATTCTGCTGTTAAAAATTTAGTTACGGAGATCATAATTTATAACTCTTTTATTGTTTGAATTCTAATAGAACTAAAATTAATAATTATAACAAAATTTGAATTAGTTTAAAAGTTTGTGTTTGAATTTTAATAAAATTAAAATTAATAATCATAACAGAATTAAAATTAATTTAAAGATAAATGATAATGATAAACACCAAAAAAAAAAATTAAAACAATAAGTCTAAATTAAAAGATAAATCCAAATAAATTCCAATAATAATTGGCAAAATGCACCAAATGAGGCAAGGAAACATATCGCATATTTTTTAAAACATGGTAGTAAATTGCAACATAGTTTAGAGTAACCTTTTTTGCAATAAAAGATGTATTCAAAATTTGCACAAAGTGTGCTCTTGGGTTCAACGGAGACAAATGGTGAAGATAGCTGCAGAGTGTGGAGGGAGATAAATAGCAAGTTTTTAAATTCTTTAAAATTACTTTGTAGGTCCCACAATAATCCAGTGGATAGACACTTGGAGGCTAACTAACCCTACACGTGATACGGAATTATAACTCTGCGCCACGTCACACGGTTCATTTCCGGTTGCCACATAATTTGATACACTGTAGTGGAGTGCATACTGTTATCATACACCTTAGACATGCCAGCCAATAGAAATTGTACTATGTCAATTTTTACTGGCCCTACCGGTGGTCCCACGGGAGACATTTCTTAAAATTAAAAAAAGGGAGAAAGAAGGAAATATATTAAGATTTGAGAAGAATTAAAATTAATAAATTAATAGTTTATATAAGTTAATAAATAGGTTAAATTATTATTTTTGTTTATAATTTGTCACATTTAAATTTAAAGCACTCCGAGGACGGCGACTCTTCGCGATTCCGGCATTGAGCCGAGCTGGTCGGCGACTCTCTCTCTCAATCGCGATGGAGTAGATCTCAATCTCTGCGATGGCGAGCGACAGGCGACGACGAAACTCATGGGAGATCGCAAGGAAGGGGGTCGGAGATCGTAAGGACCGGTCGTTGTCGTATCTGAGGTGAAATAGCAGATCTGATCTTGGCGATTTTTGGCTAGATCGTCGCCGTCTGTGTGTCATCCAGAACAAGATCCCGACCGAACCAGGCGGATAGGGAGTCGCCGTTGGCGTCGCCGTCCATGAGCGAGGCAGCAGACTCACCGTCGGATGTCGAGTCCGAGATCTCGCAGCACGACGCCGTGCGGCGTCATTTCAATACCCTACGAAAATAACATCAATACCCTAAAAACGACGTCAAAAAAAGTTTACTGCTGAGTTAAACGACCAAAACTTTTGAGTACAAAATTTACATGTTCTCTCTTTCTAATAATTCCTCAGGTTTGTCAGCCTTTTACACGGTTTGTTCTCGATTTTTCTTATTTTCGTATACCTTTTTTTGGTGCAGAGGCTGACAAAACTAAGAAATTATTGGAAGGGGAACATGTGGATGGAAGAATTCATGAGAGTTGAATAATTCTGCTGTTAAAAATTTAGTTACGGAGATCATAATTTATAACTCTTTTATTGTTTGAATCTTAATAGAACTAAAACTAATAATTATAACAAAATTTGAATTAGTTTAAAAGTTTGTGTTTGAATTTTAATAAAATTAAAATTAATAATCATAACAGAATTAAAATTAATTTAAAGATAAATGATAATGATAAACACCAAAAAAAAAAATTAAAACAATAAGTCTAAATTAAAAGATAAATCCAAATAAATTCCAATAATAATTGGCAAAATGCACCAAATGAGGCAAGGAAACATATCGCATATTTTTTAAAACATGGTAGTAAATTGCAACATAGTTTAGAGTAACCTTTTTTGCAATAAAAGATGTATTCAAAATTTGCACAAAGTGTGCTCTTGGGTTCAACGGAGACAAATGGTGAAGATAGCTGCAGAGTGTGGAGGGAGATAAATAGCAAGTTTTTAAATTCTTTAAAATTACTTTGTAGGTCCCACAATAATCCAGTGGATAGACACTTGGAGGCTAACTAACCCTACACGTGATACGGAATTATAACTCTGCGCCACGTCACACGGTTCATTTCCGGTTGCCACATAATTTGATACACTGTAGTGGAGTGCATACTGTTATCATACACCTTAGACATGACAGCCAATAGAAATTGTACTATGTCAATTTTTACTGGCCCTACCGGTGGTCCCACGGGAGACATTTCTTAAAATTAAAAAAAGGGAGAAAGAAGGAAATATATTAAGATTTGAGAAGAATTAAAATTAATAAATTAATAGTTTATATAAGTTAATAAATAGGTTAAATTATTATTTTTGTTTATAATTTGTCACATTTAAATTTATTATAGTAAAAAACTCTCATAAATAGTCACATTTAATATTTTTATTACAGTAAAAAGCTCTCACATAAAATCACATCTCAACTTGAATTAAAAACTCGAATCAGCGAACTAAACGGTAGTGTCTAAGGGCTTGTTCTTTTGAGTGAAAAACTCAAAAAAAAGTAACTCGAGTTACAACTTTATTCGAGTTCATGTTCTTTTAAGTTTAAACTCGAGTTCAAACTCGAGTTTAGGACTAAAACTCGAGTTCAAGTTTCCCCTTCAACTCGAGTTCAAAAACTCAAACTCAAATTAATGAACAGTATTTTTTCTATTATTCAAAATGCTATAACTTTTTCGTTTTAATTCTAATTGAGATGATTTTTTTTCCATGCGTTGACAACGAAAAGACGAATAAAACCCGACCCATATACCCTATTAAAATTTTTCATCAGCATTGAGTTTTTATTAAAATACTATCTAAATACAAATTTAAATTTTGACTCATTCAAACACAAACTCAAAAAGATTCTTATCTCAAACCATAACTCAAATGTACACAACCAAACACAAACTCAAGTTACAAGTTCAACTCAAATTATAACTCAAATTTAACTCAAAAATTATACTCAAGTTAAATTCTAAAAGAAAAGCCCTAAGTTTGTGAAGAGACAGCCACTTGAGACCTATAATTTTGGAATAAAACAAACAGACTACAAACCACTTTGTCATGTCATGTGATGAGTGTTGGGTTGGATGATTAGGCCAAAATGAAAATAAATCAGTTTCTTATTTGTGTCTATATGAACATGTATGTATATGTATATATGCCTTAGAAGTTATAGTTTGCTATGGTGTTTCAGTTATTTATTGCAAATGCAAAGCTCTAATTCTATTACATTATAATCTGTTGTGTTAGAAACTCTTAATCTAACCCAAGATTTTATCTTTTTACATATGTATCTGAAAAAAGAAAAAAAAAAAAAAAACTCTGACACAATTTTAATTTGGAGCCAAGTTGGACAAAATATGTCCATAACTGATAACTCTACCACTACCCGTCCAGTAGTATCAATAGAAAGTGTTGCATGTTGGCTGTTTCTTTCTTTTTATTTTTTTCTGTTTTTATTTTTTTTTCTTTTAACCAAATGAAATGAATTTGTTGTTTCCTGTTGTCATATTCTGGTGGTTTTCTTCCTTTCGATGAAATTGATAATTGAGTCTATGATTCGGGCACAAAAGAACAAAAACAAGAAAAAGTAAAAATGAAAAAAGAAACAAAGCAAAACAAAGCTCGCTGCCTTAACCACAGAAGTTGGATATAAAACATAATCTTATTAGTCATATTGAAATATAATAAAAGAAATTAAATATTTTATAAATTACAATCATTAAAATCCTTACCATAATTATTGTATAGTTTTATAACATAAAATATGACGTATTATAATAATTATTACATAATTATACTACTTATAATAATTATAACATAATTAAATTACTCTTTAAATATTCCAAAAAAGTGATTGGATTTCAATTGCAACAGTGGATTTTCTCTAATTTATTATACAAGACTGATTTATAATGCCCAAAGCATTGTCCATTATAAAGCTAAGAAACTTGGGCTGGTACTGACCACCAGGCCCAATAGTCATCCCACCCAGCCCAATCACCTACAACTCAAGTAACATCAAAGAATATTAGAAATAAATCAGAAATAGGATAATTACTCATAAATACAGGTAAGTATTTACCATATTTACCTTTATTGAGGTAAATTACTTGTAAAATGACCTCTAAAGAACAAAACTACTATAGTACGAAATTTATAAGTAAATATAATATATACGAAATTTAAACTTGTAACTACTATAGTTCTTTCATGTATATATACTATTTACCACATTTAATCTTGGTATTTACTGATAAATACTTGATTATTGAGGTAAATTACTTGCAAAATGACCTCTAAAGAACAAAACTACTTGATTATTGGAGTAAATCCAATAACGGCAACAATCTATAAGTTGTATCCACGAACAATTAAAATTTGAAACTGAAGACAAAATAATTGTTTTGCCCTTAACGACTTTGTAGATAATTAAAATAGTTCTAATATGACTTTTTAAGTTCCTTATTGCATGAAGTAGGTTCTGGAT